TGAACTAGTTCATTTTAAATGTAAGATTTTGTATTCTACATATTTCAATTGTTAGGAGACTTATTCTTAAACTAGTATGCCTATATATATATTCACAACTATTTTTTTCTCTTTTTGAAATATTTAGTGGTAGTTGAATTGCTTCTGTAGAATTTTTATCTCGCTTTCGATTAAGGAACTCTATGTTTCGAATCAGCAATAGTTATAGCAGAAATCATGTTTCATTATATGCGTTGAAAATATTTTTAGCCCAAAGGGGCAATTTACTCAGAAGGGCTATTAATTTCGTTTTTGGCATTTTTCGTTGATTCACTATAAATGATGTTTCAGTTTTCAAATTGTTGCCACCAAATATTAGAGCCTTGAATTACCGTATTTGCCGGCGTATAAGACGCACTTTTTTCCTTTGAAAATAAGTCTTAAAACCGGGATGAGTCTTATTATGCGTCGATACTCAGTTTTTTATTATACGCGATTTTTTTTATTTTTTCCTTGCAGAGTGTGGGAATATTACAGTTATGTAGAGTTTAGTGAATGCGCATGCGCTGTAATGGACGATCACAAATGAGTTCCTTTAAACTTTCCAGTTTTTGTGAACGACTTTTAAGTGTGTGAAATTTCTACTGCTCAGTTTTTCTTAAATTTGTTGGCAAGTTATGGCTCAGAAACAACTTCGGCATTCCTATAACGTAACATACAAGCTACTTGTGATTGCGTATGCTAAAGAACATGGTAACAGGGCTGCAAAGAAGCCATTTCGAGCCACTCTCAACTGAGAAGATGATAAGAACTTAGTGGAATCAGAAAGAAGATCTAAAAAAGCAACTCATAGATTGGGTATTTACAAAACGTATTACTTTGTATTTGTATTACTTTATATTTAAAATATTGTAAATTCATTATAATGATCAGTAATAAAGTTTTATCTTTCAGAAATGCGTATAAATAGGGGGTGCGTCTTATACTCCGGCAAATGCGGTAAATAATGAAGGATCTGCATGAATGTCTGAATCTTTCTCGCACTGTACAGCAACGGTACCCAGAGCCATCAAATTTTGAATAACGAAGTCCTCCGCTCGAATATGGGCATCTGGAAACCCAAATTTAGAATTTGTTTTGTTATCTATTTAATACTTTGTAAACCTTTATCGAATTTTTGATTAACAAACTCAACTATTTCAAAGCGAGCAGTGGCAACACTGCACGAAAAGAAAAGCATTTGTATCTCCAGCGCAAGAGACTATGTATCAGAAATTCTAAAGGTATACTCTTTATAAATTATTGTGTGATATTCCTGTTGAATTGAATTTTATGGTTTATATTATTATAATTTACATTATATTTAACAAATAAAGGTAACACACAAAACGTTAAAAAATGCCATTTTGGGACGTAATATAAAATCTGAAAGTTTTCAGATTTTTTTAGTATTTATTAAAATGCTATTTTAACGATGTTTGTAACATTGCAGCTACTCTGTTGTTTAGGTAACTTTCTAATATTCGAGAAATTGTTTCATGTTAAAAATGTTAATTAAATATCGAAGAAACAAGATACAGGTAAACATACCAAGCATTGATACAAGATGGTAAGCATTGAGTTATTAAAATACATGTTTTATTCTTTGTACTACGAATAAAGAATTTCACATTTATTTGCTTTTGAATTATCCATTACGATCATTCACAACGGTCTATCTTTCAGTTCCTATAGAAAAGCTTCGTTCATTATTAGTTCTGTCTTGGGATTTGTGTACCCGGAAGCAATTAATGTCAAATAACGAATGCTATCAGTTGAAACATTTTATCGATGTGTCATTGAAGAAATAGAAGGAAATCGTACCAGAAATGCTTCCTGGGACTTTTTCATTTCTGAGTTCCTTTGGGATACTAGAGTAACGTCGAAGAAGCTTACTTTCTGGTATATTGCCCAACGACTGATGGAAAGAAATGGGTTTTTCCTCACAACAATGAAAGCTACATCCTTTTGATTGCTATCGAGAACATCAAGAAAGTGTGAGGTGAAAAATTCCTTCCTTTTTTATCTCTTCTCCTCCCCTTTGGTCTGGAGATAGAATTCTCTTCGACCCTTTACTGAGCGGCTCCATAACGTATCATGTGCTTCGCCTATAGACTCACAACAATACGCGAAGGGTTGCCATTTTTCCAGGCTTCTTGCGATTTTGGCTACTTCTGGCTGTTGATCTTACTTGCAGAATTCTGATTGTTGCCAGTCTGTTGCACCTTTCCTTTTCATGCAATGATCGACAGTTAGCAGCAGTAACTTCTAAGTACCTTAGAGTGCTTTTTAATATACTTTTTGAAAGAGTTATATTTATTATTGGTTTACGTTTAGGAAGATAGAGAATATATAGTTATAAGAAGAGGAATATTTAGAAACATCCAGCTTTAATTTGTAAAAGCAGAAATACTGAAGTCGGATGAAAACCTGCGAGAAATAGTAACCAAATTACATGAGTAAAACTAATAATATACAAATAAAAAATAAGCAATTAATAAAACCTAAAGAGATGGATAAAAATATTTTTAAGGCAAGTTAAATTAATGACACATATTCGGATCATAAATTAAATTAAAATACCTTTAAAACTTAAATAATAAAACAAATGAAAGGGAATAAAAAAAATGGAAAAATATCTGAAAGCTTTCACATTTTATATTACGCCCAAAGGGACTTTTTTTAATGTTTTGTGCGTTACATTTTCTTCGCGATTTGATAAAGTTATTCCTTTTATCATCGCTTCTAATTTGTTTAAAGTTTTCTTGACAGCAGGAATACAGACGCTAAATATTCCAATTCCTTAAAAGATCGCATATCGACATAGGATTTTACCTAAAGATTCCTGCTTAGTTTGCTGAAAGAGGATATATATATAGCTAATATCCTTACCAGTTTTACTTACTGCTAAAAGAAATACTGCATCAATAACAGAATTTTCATATTAATATTACGGTTCAGTTATCTTAAATCATCGGAGATTATTTTATCTGGTGCACTTTCTATCAGAAAACTAGAAGTTACACCAGCAGGACTTTAGTGGCTCCAATAAAACTTAAGCACTAATAAGTATTCATTTTAAAAGATAAATTTGGTGTTTGTGGTAGCAAAATGGATAAACTAACCAACGGTTGGCTTCTGTATTCCTCGATATGTGTCTTAGATCCAGCTTTGAGCGTTTGAATGATCTGCTCATTTGAGTGTTTTGACGTTTTTCGCCAGGTGTAACGAAAATACGAACCAGTTCTCTTTAAATCTTCTTCGCGAAGATGTTTTTCCTAAGAAAGATAACTCTTGACGGAATGAATTGTCTGACGGGCATTAATTGCCCTTCCTGAAGCTAAACTAAAAGACCTAAAATCAAACGCTTTTAACTAATGTCCTTGATAACCTTCATAGTTTGAGTAATATATTCTAGGTGTATTATAGTGTTTGCGCTATAATTGTTAAAGCTGTCAATCTGTTATGAATTTAATAGATTACTTTGTTCCAGTAAGAAATGTGTTAATGTGTTCTAGAATCCTTTTTGATCTGTATAACATTAGAAGAATTGTGTTTTAGAGTCATTGGGTTATTTTAATGCTGGAGACCTGAGAAATGAGCAATGTCCTTGCCGGGACTCAAACCTGGATCTCTCGAATACGCGCCGAGTGTGATACCGTTACACCACGAAGGTATGCAGAAAGGAGGGAGAAAATACCTTATATACTCCCCCTTTTAAAGGGCGACTAGGAATTAGGGGCCCCAATCTCCAAATCCTGGAGGTGGAGAAATCATCATCCACCACCTTTTTTAGTTCGGGCGCCTTTGTAGAGACATTAAGTATTTTTTGAAAGGTTCTCAACCTTTTGACTAACGCGTACCATCTAAACAAAAACTGGAAACCTTTAGTACCACCACTACAAAGTACTACTACCACCACCACTCTTGAACAAAGCTCAGATCGCATAAATTTACGAGTGTTAGAGAAAAAACTCAATCAGGATGTTGGTGTTTTAATTTTTGAATTTAACAGTTAAAAATACTTTGCTTCTTTACGTACCACCTATTTTTCTCTTGCGTACCACCAGTGGTACGCGTACAATCGGTTGAGAACCCCTGCCTTATAGTATTGCAAAAAGCGTTCATTCATTCTTACCCTTTCTAAGCTCATTGGGACAAAGGAGAGTTTTAAATATTAAAAATAACAATGTTCATGGTACTACAGTTAACCCTTGCGATTATGTCCTCTGGTTATAGTTGTCCTCCACTATAAGGATGGGTGCAAAAATTCTTTAACTGATAAGAGTATATTAAACCCTTTTCGCTGAGTGTTAAAAGGAAGGGTCTCTTTTAAGTCGCTCAGCTTCTCTTCTAAATCCTAGTTTCGCTATGGCGACCTTTCGTTATTTTTTGCAGAAGTCGAGGCGTCGTTATAATGAGTGTCTGTTAATTAAAATGAAACAATAATAATATAAAATAAATGACATTTTCACAAAATTTTGGGGTAACAAATCCTTATCCAAGTAGTATATTATAATGTGAATCTTTTTCTCATATGACAGCACAACAGTGAGGCTATGGCGGTTTTTGTAGTATATAAAATGCACAACTCTAAGTAAATTTTTCCCTAAGATTCTCTAAGATTTCGTTTCCCAAAGATTTATACGATTGGTAAAATTGAAGGAAGCAAACGTACTTCTAGTGTTTAAAATAAAGTCGAACGCATCTTGAACTTTGTTTTTCAGTACTGAAAAATATAGTTTTTCAGTGGTGGTAGTCGTACTTTTTAGTGGTGGCACTAAAGATTTTCAATTTTATTTAGATGGTACACGTTAGTCAGAAGGATGAGAACCGCTGGTCTAAAAGATGCAACAGCAACTGTTAGCGGGTGGTCAGGAACAAAAGCTGGATTTGTTGAGAGAACAGTCCAAGGTTTGCCATCACAAGCCCGAGCGGCAAAATCTCTAAAAGTCTTTTGATATGTTAGCGATGTCAGAAGCTTAATAGAATGGAGGCTTGCACTCGTTTTTGGCTTTTGGAGAACCGTAGCGTCTTTTATTCGCAAGCATCTCATTCCCATAAATACCGCAGTGTGAAGGTATCCATTGAAAAGATATCTTGTGGGAAAGTTCTTTTATGACTTCCTGACACTGTTGAACGCATATGTTCTCCCACTCTTGGTAAGAGGCGATGGCCTGTATTGATGAAATCGAATCAGACAGTACAACCACCCTCCTGAACGAGCTCTGTCTCAATGATAATTGTTGGAGAGTCACATGAATGGCTTTCAGTTCTCCATCAAAGTGCGTGGAGTAAGCCCCTACAGGTATATAGAAAATGTAAAGCTTGATAAAAACTCCAACTCCAGCCCTCTGGATCCTAACGGTCAGAGAGCCATCCGTGTATACATGCATCCATTCCTTAGCCGGAAAACGTTGCTCAATTGTTTCCAAAGCCATAGCTCTTATTTTAGTTAGTTTAATACGAGAGTTACTTGTTTTCATTCCTAAAATAATTTCTTATGTAAATTTTTTTATGAAACTTTTTTTTTTCCTAAAAAATTGCGTGTTTCATGTGTTTAACTATAAGGCATTTGTTAAAAATATAAAATGTAATTTGTTAAAAATATAAACGGTAAAAATATACTAAAATATGTTAACAAAACTTTTTAATTTCTATATTCAAAAATCCGTTTTCGATTTGTGAAACAAAATCATAATGAATAAAATAAATAAATGAATAAGATATGATAATGAGGACAGGGGAATATAAATATTCTTTAATATTGGTTCATTTCTTTTTTAAATTTAAAAATATACCAAAATTTGCCTTTAATATGAGTAGAAGATTGATTTAACCGTCATTTTCAGAATGTGTATGTGTACAAACTGTTATTAAATTTTAACACTGCATTTGAGTCAATAACCAATCTACAAACAGATCATCTTAGTGATAGTTTTCTGAATCCTATTTTTAACATTAATAATGATCATTTAGAGACCTTATTTACGTTTAATTTTTTTTTTCAATCTCTTCCTTTCCCTTATTGATTTTAATATACCATGATAAAAAAATTCTTAAAATGTATATAGTAAATAGTTTTTTAAATTTTTTTTTATTTTTATTTTAAATAACTGAAATTTAAGGTAGAAGAATCGTAGAGCTCAAATGCGGTTCAAAAGTAGCGTTTAGCCAAAAATGCACATAAAATGCTCTGATGCTGTCTATTAAGCCTTAACCACCGAATTCAAAGCTGCTCATATTTGGCGCATTCAGAATATGCGCCAAATATGAGCAGCCTCCTCTACGACAGCTTTTCCAAGAAAAGGTTTAAAAAAAGCAAAAAAAAAAAATGTTCTCTGATCCCATTTAGGAAGGAAACGTGCGTAAGTAAAAGAAAGCAGGGGGGAAGAGGGAAAAAAAGTCAGTTCGTATTCTCCTTTATTCGTGGTAGAAGGGCCTATGTGCGGCTATGTCATTTACTGTTAACAACATGGAACAAAGCCCCCTTCTCTGCATTCTTTTTCCTATCCGGGATAGAACAGAAAAGAGCTCCGTATTTAATATCGTCGTCCTCCTCTAATTCGTCTTCCAAAGTTCCGTATTTTTTTTTTTCCTCCCTCAGCCTTCTTTTTAACAGAAATGATTTCTACACGGGCGCTTCTATTTTTAGGATTCCGGTGAAATCATCTCCCCACTTCGTCCTTACAACGTAACCCTTCCTCCCATCCCCTTTCCTCAGCTCTTCTTGTTCTTTCGTCTTTTAATGCAAAGGGTTTAAATTTAAATGCCTCTTCCTGTGAACGTAATATGTGCATGAGTGTTTGTGTAACAGCGTTGGAGCAATGTAATGTATTAACTGAAATAAAGGCAGTCGCGATATGTCCTCCGCTTTAAAAGAAGCAGAATAATGGCTGTAAACAATGTACTTAAATCGTTAAGTTTCGTAATTGCGTGTGTTATTAAGTTTTGACTAGGCTCGAGATTCCCAATCTTGGGTGGTGTTTTAACATGACGTTGAGGCGAAATTAATTTTTTTTGTCTGTTTTCAAGGTCACTTAGTAATAATTTCGTAGTTCTAATCATTATTCACTATATCACTGAATTTATCCTCTTTTGGGGACTCCTCTTTTTTGGACCAAAGGGCCGTTAGATCCAAACGGTTATTAGTCTGAAAACGACATCTTGCGTCGTTTCACTTTCTGCGGTGATTCATGTTTCAAACTGTTGCCACCAAATATTATCGCCATGTATTACATTCAAAGAAAGTAAATAATAAAGAATCTGCATGAATGCATGAATGCTTCTCGCACTGTGAAAAAACAACGGTACCTAGAGCCGTCAAATTTTGAATAACGCAGTCCTCCAACCGAACATGGGCACCTGGCAACGCGAATTTGTTTTATTATCTATTTCAAATTTTGAAAAACTTCAACGAATTTTTGATTAACAAACTCGACGATTTAAAAGCGAGCGATGGCAACACTGTACGGAAAAATCATTTTTAGCGCCAGCGCGTGTAACTGCGTATCGGAAATTCTAAAGATAAGTTATTTTAAGTAATTTTGATATTGCTGTTGAATTTCATTTTGTGTGGTTTAAGTGCGAAGAATATGATACTTAATAAATAAAGATAACGCACAAAACGATTAAAAGGATAGGATATACAAAAGAAAAGTAGTACAGTGAAAAATATTATAATCTCTTAATAATAAATATAATTTGTATCTGTATGCTTTCACATGTAAATTACAATGCAGTTATTTTTTAAAGTTTTTAATGTGCGCTTATTTAAAACCCAAGTTAATTAATAATGAGCATGTTTCAACTAACTATTTTATATTTAAATCTTTTATTAATTTAGTTTTATTTTATTTTATTTCACGATACCAGTTCTCATATTTGTTAATTAATCACACACTGTATCTCCCTACTGAAAGGTTCGCTGCCATCATGAAAAATTGACAAAGATTTTCCGAGCACGCCAATAAAATACTTTTTGCATTAAGCTTCACTATTCATCTAAGTTCTTTGATGAAGATGGAGGTCACTTTGAAATACGTCCAGACGATAGTGGCAGAAAGAACAGTAACGGTTATATTTGAAAATATGAACTATTTTAGCCTAGCAGACGACTTTTTAGTTGCTTGCAGAGACATTAGGATTTTTTGGAAGCAGGAAACTTGGAAAATGAGCAACGCCCTCTCCGGGAATCGAACCACGGTCCTTTCAAATATGCGCCGAGCGTGCAGACCACTATACCACGAATGCACGCTAAGAAGGCTGGAGAAATACTTTATAGGCCTTAAAGTGCAAGTAGTTTAGAGTAGAATAAATTTTAGGCAGAAGGAAAGAATGGAACTGACGCGAGAACATTATTGCATTATGATTTTAAAGTGGAATTAAATCGAAAAAGAATGCTTTCAACATATACAGTTCGCATTTGGAAATGAAGGTCCTCATGCTACTATCTTCAGATGGTTAACAGAATTTCACAGAGGTCGTTTTTCGCTTCAAGATGAAGAACATACAGGAAGGCTGTTGTCAACAGTAATCCCGGACACTGTGTCCTGCTGCACGGAAAATATTGTTGCGTTTTTCTTTTCTGACACCAGTTATTACGTTATTTTCTTCCTTCACGTTCGTAGGGGGTTCGTAGATTTGGAGTGAATAACGACGACACTTGATGAAGTATCGAAACACACTTTATTAGCCGGTATTAATCAAGACAACTTCAAAATCACGTTACAGTTGTCGAAGAACTACTATAAACACGTTGACACAATCAGCGACACAGCCTTCAGGTTATCAGGCTATAACGGTGGAGACAGCTTCATTGCAAAGCACCAGAGTACAGGTCTGCTCGGTCGTTCTCGGAATTCCACGTACTCTCGAGACTTCCCACGCTACAACTCGTGATTTACTCGACGACACACAAAGCACGGCTCCCGACTCTTCGGTTCAGTCGTTCCCGGAGCTCAACATGCTCTCTCGACGATGCAGTAACTGTGATACACTAAGAGACTCTTTCGATGCAGTCGATGACCCACTCGGCACTCGTTGCCCGGCTGTCAACTCGATCGACTCCGCACGGCTCGCTAGACGAGGCACTCTGACTCGCCCTCTCGACGAGGCACACTCTCCCTGATGCGGACCAGAAGGGCTTATATAGCTTTCGGCTTGTGTTCGAGAACGTTCTGGGCTAAACCGGTAAGAATTCGTTCCAGAAGGTTCTCCATCCGTCTATGGTATATCGCCGATTTTGTCACCAAATGGGCGATTTCTCGCCAAATGTGGCAACCCTGCCTTCCCTTACAATTTTATGGGAACCCTAAAACTGCTTTGCGGGGAAGCCATCTTACCGCTCCTGTACATTTCGTAACAATATTAATCGATGATAATCGCTGCACCTACCAAATGATACAGAAGGAACTTAAAATTGGGTCCGCCACCATACATAAAATTATTCATGAAGAAACTGCATGTGAAAGAAACTAGTTTGTCGTAGGGTTCCCCACAGCTTAACTGAGCACAAAATGAGTAGCATGTCAGAATCAGTAAAGAAACTCTTCGATTACTTAAAGATGGTGGCCACCATATTTTTCTAAACTCGTTACTCGTGATGAAACCTACATACCATTTTTTGACCTTTCTTCACTTCAAGAAGGTATGTATCATCATAGTATATCAAGTATGGGTCTCTGAAGATGGTCCCAAGCTCACAATGGTAAAAAGACAACGTGCCATGAAAAAAGTAGTATATGCCGTTTTCTTCAGAAGTACATGATTGGTCAAAGCCATGAAGCTGGAAAGACAGAAGATAGTCACAGCTAACTGATACACCACTGTCTTCCATAAATTCTTAAAGAAGTGAATAATAGAGGACACATACCCCACCATGACAGTGCATGTAATGTTGAAATACATATACAATTCTTCGAGATCATGAAAAAAAATTTTCAAAAATCGAATAAAATTTCAGTATTTTACTCGTTGGGGGTGAAGGAGGTTTATTTTTATCGTTAAGTTTTGTTTTCGTAATAATCAAGTTTTATGATGTGCTAACACATCTTCTGCAAAGAAGCTCCATAAAATGTGCAACTAAACAAGTTTCAATTATGTTCAGTTCAGATCCACAAGTATTCCATCCCATTAAAGAAGAAATAAGCAAATTTCCGACAGCTTATCCTAGCAGGAAATTTAATCACAATTTTAATTTTGGGTCTGCAAAAATTATTTTATAAGTTTCCTTCATTTGGTCAGTTTGATTGTCTTGATGATTTTCACATTCACAGAAATTTAACTCGGATGGCTTATGACATTAACTCCAATCCAGTCTAACGCTTATAAAATTCTAATGTATTTCTTTTTTTCTTTTTCTTGTAATTTTTTTTTCTACTATTTCCTTCAACAAATGGCACTTGTTTTCACTTTGCTACACCTCCCCCCCCCTTTTTTT